AAAAAAAAAAAAAAAAAAAATCAGCTTGTTAAGTTAGTATTCCAGAAGACAAAAATATTACCATCCTACAATCTATATTCGCCTAATACTGCTCTTTTAAAAAAAATGTGGCATTAGCTTTTTTGTTCTGCACAAATTGTTTTCATTCTTGCAGATCTTAAGTATGTGCTATAAAAGGCACCTAAAGACTGTCTTTAATGGGGCCATCCAATGGTGCTTTATGAAACTAAATATCCATCTTAGAAAGAATAATGAATTTAAGACTGATTTTTAACTTAGAAATTGATCTAAACATGTCACCTCTCAGCCAGAAGCTGATTCTAATAAAAGTCCATTGCGATTCATGAAAGCTTTACATCTAAAGGGTTTCAGAGCATAAAAAAAGAGGGCCAAAGAACCAGGCAGGGAATATTCTAAGCTAGTGGAAGGAAAGAAAACAAGGGGCAGGGGAAAAAAAGGGGGGGTGGGGCAGAGAGAAAGGCAAAAGAGATGCATTTTGGCCCTAAACTACGTTAAGTGCTTTACAGATTTAAAAAGTAAACAAACCCCCCAGAACAGCCCCCCTCCTCACAATGAAGTACTTCTTTGGTTTAGAGGAGAAGAGAATTGACACTGGCATGAGTTACAGGCCTAGTAATGTACTTGAACTGGCCTAGAGATATCTGGTTGGGTTTAGATGACTGAACTGGAAACAAAGGAAGTCACACTCTTCGGGAAGCAAATAAATGAGAACCTGGCCAACAGAAACGAGAAACAGGTAACAGCCAGCAGCTACATCTCTTTCCTGTTACACTGGCCTCCCACTATCAACTATATATAAGGATAACATTCTGGAAAAAATATCCCAAGAGTTAAGGGCTGCCAAAAGTAGTATAATTCTAGGCTCATATGCATATCATGCTAGAGATGTGAATTACAAAAAACAAATATAAAAAAAAAAACTCTGGATATGCCACCTTTCAAATTTAGGGATGCAAAATTTAAATTGTAAGGGTGACTTGCAAATCAGAAACTGATCTAAACATGTCACCTATCAACTGGACATTGATTCTAGAAAAGTGGATCGTGAAAAGAGAGATTAGTTTATATCCTGAAATAAAATTGAAGACTTTTAACATGATACATATACAGTTATCATTTACCATAGTATGGGCTTAACAGGGGGTTTGAGGAGATGGGAGGGGAAACAGTTCATTCACTCCAATGGGAAAGAGATGAAAGATTGGAGAGAATCTATTTTACTTCTATCCAGGTTACTGTAAGAGGTGTACTGAGCAGACAGGAGATTAGGCACTAAAACAGAAGTGACCAACTATGGGAGGGGGTTGATAATTTTAGTCATAAATTTAAATGTAGATGCTGAAACAAGGAGATACCACCTTTACTGAAGGAGTATTGAGCACAAACAGCTCCTACTTTCTAGCCTACATTCTATTCTCAGCTACTTTGCATAAATCTTCTACAGCAATGATACTGACATGAATGAAATTCCTGAAAAGCTATTTTGGTGTATGTCTTGTTCCACAGTCTTTGCTTGTAGAGGTTAATATAATTATAGAAGGGTGGAACACAGTTCTCATTTCCAGCTTATTAAGAGTTCCTCCACAAGAAAGCAGAATACAAACACCTAAGAGCCATAGTAATTAATGGCATACTTGTATACTTACCTCTGAATAAAGAGGTGGAGGCAGAAAACGAAATTCTTGGATGTAGGCGAATAATGGTCCTTGAAGTGCCCTCTCAAAATCGTCACAGGCAGCTATGGGTGCAAGGCTGGACTGTCTTTGCTCCTCTGTGACCACTTCTGCATAGCTAGGAGGTGCTAGAGGGAAAAGGTACACGCAGTTCGAACTACAGTTCTTATGCATGTCAAAATACATAATATGACAAATATTAAAACTTTAATCATTAAAAAAGTTAAAGTGCTCAGTGACAAGAATTATAGCTACACTTTTGTATACGAGACTATGCTATCTAAAGAAATTAAAATTTATGCTGTTAAGATGACTGACAATCATCACAGACTTCAGCTTGATTATCCTCCTAAAATCTGAGTATGGGACAGCACTCTTTTCTTGCCTAGGTAGAAGAGTGTGAGATGACCCCACTTTCCTTTGGAGGTCTCTCTTTCGACCTAAGGTTCATGCACATGGATGTGTTGACAACTGAGTAAAACCGAATTACAGGAAGGGGAAATATATATAATTCTACCAGTGAGCAATGCAGAGATTCCCTGCACAAAGTTAATACAGCCCAACCTATGCTGTCTTTCCACTAGGTTCCCAGCTTCCAATGGGCCAGATGAAGACCTGACAGCACTGCTGCAATGGACTGGGCTGCTTCCAAGCCACAGAAGTAACTGGGGACCAGTAATTGGAGATACTGAAATTCCACGCTGAAATCCCCTAGTGTCCTGTGCCATCTGCACCGATTCCCATGGTTAAGATGTTGGAGCAGGTGGGCTCCACTGCTCTTTCTACAGCATAAAAAAAGGGAACTACAGACCCACCACAATATAACTGGGTAGTACAGAAATTGCATGGAAAGAGACCCATATGGAAATGACCTCTCGCCATGTGGGTTTTACTGAGAAAGGGTTTCTTAATAAAGTGGTGATGAGGTAAATCAGACATACAAGCCCAAAATACTATTAAAGCAGCTGAGATTAATATTAAAATCAATTTACCTTCAGGTCTTTCAGGCAGTGTAAGACCAAGCCAATTCATATTCATGCTACACTGGCTGCTTACACTTGATGTTCTGCTGCCAAAAGGATGTAGAGGAATAGTACCAATGACAAGTGGTAAATTAAGGAATAAGTCCATTGCTCCAGGGATATCAACGTATACCTAAAAAGTAAGTGACAAAAAAGCCTGTGAATAGAAGCTGGTTTGAATCAGTCCCTAGTGGGTTAATTCTGCCCTCAGTTCCAGGTGAGAGTTATACTTGCTTCTAATACACTATTTTAAAGGGTTGTGCCAAAAAGAAGTGCTGAGCCCTACCAAGTTAAATAGAAGTTGACAGTTCTTCACATTAGGTGAAAAATTTTAAAAATTGCCATGGCTGTATATCATCTGCCATTTGTCACAGAATCAGAGGGTTGGAAAGGACCTCAAGCATCACACCTAGGCCAACCTCTTGGATAAATGCAGCACTTGCTATTCCTAAACCTATTCTCCTTTATGCATTTCAACAATGATGCATTGATTTTTTTAAACAAAATTAGCATGGGATCATGCCTCCAAAGTAGTTATGCATATGCTTAAGAGAGAATATGAACAGGACACGTACCATTAATGAATATTCCACACGGATTATACTGCAATCAAGGATTGAGGGAGAAACGGGTGGAATTTTCAACAGTTTGCCGTTCCAGGTTTCTGTTTTCCCAGATGACAGGGATTCCCCACGCAGGTTGGCAACAAGCTGCTTCACTTCCTTCATTTTCCCTTTGGCATAGAATGCCTGTGTTTGGTAAATGGCTGCCTTTGGCACAACCATACGGGAAGAGCAGTTCTCAATCTCAGCAAAAATCTGAATTGATTCACCTGGAATGAAACAGAATTTCATTCAGTTCACATCTGCTTACATGGAAACACATATATTTTTAAATGTTTACATGGTTACAATGGGCCAGCTCCTGCCAATACTAAATTTATTGGCAAGAATATTCATTGATAGCAATAAGCAGAATGAAGTTCAGTATGAG